AATAATAATAATAATAATAATAATAATAATAACCTGATATTGTGCTCTTCGACAAGGCTCCTCGTGACATTTATGTCATAGAGTTTTTGGCCCCGGCTGAATACAACATCTCAGCCAAAGAAGAGCACAAAAGATAAATATATCAGGATCTCCTGTTTGAAATTGGTAAACTTTACCCAGGTTACCGTGTCAAGCTTGTCGTCCTGATTGTTGGTGTCCTTGGAGGGATGAAACAGTCTTTTGTATCCTCACTTGCCAGAGTTCCAGCTTGCTCATCAAAAGCTGAGTTCTTGGCAGTCAGGATGCAGAAGGCTGTGCTACTAGGTTCCCTCCGTCTACTTAGAGAAATGACTTTGGCCTGCTGTGATCACTAACCGCCTTGTTGTGCGGAGTGGTCCAGCAGTAATGGATGGAGCTCAGGCTGGGCCCTCGGAGAGTCGGACTCCGGGGACAACCCCCCTGAGCATTTAATAACATAATAATAATAATAGTAATAATAATAATAATAATAATGAAAGTAATAATAATATTTATTTTTTAATCTATTATTTTAAAGTGATTGATAAAAAATACACTTTTGATACACTGTCGTAGAGTCGAGAGAGTTTTGTGTATAAAATTGATAAAAGTGATAAACAGTTAGATTATGTATGGTGTTGAAAATGATAACAAGGTTTAAACTTTTGCAACTCTTCTGAATAATTGGTACACAATAATATAAAAATAAAAACGAAATTTTAAGGAAGTTAAGCGAGATTGTTGTGAAAAATTATATCAGTAATGCTAACAGGTAATTATGTAGGTTTCTGGATCCGTCTGTAGAGTGGTCATCTAGGATTAGTGAGAGGTTCAGGGTGTTGCTATTGTCCGACGAAACTTGGAGATACTGTGAGCGTAGGGTGTTGAAGAGCGAGCATTCCAACAGGAAATAGGCTACTGATTCTTGCGTCAAGTTGTGACAGAATCTGCATGGTTCCGATGGTCTTAGCTGGATGATGTTGCGATTGGGCGTGATGCGACAGGAGTAATTGTTGGCTAGTCTCAGTTGACTTTTGCTGATCAACGTACTGAACTCGCTCTTGATTAAGTAAGCTGGTGCTTCATCGAAGAGTGACCGAAGAGTGACATTGGGATTATAATTTTTTATATTTCGAATAAAATTGTATTTTTCCTGAACAATTCCCCAAATAGATATTTATGTCATAAAGCCGTAAAGTGGCGGTTTTCTGAAAGCGACGATATTTCGATATGAGCTTAAGGTTTGTGGCGCGAAGGTTCGAAACGGGCGTAATTTTAACGCCCGAGGCGTAGCCGAGGACGGAAATTTACGTTCGTTTTCGAAAATTCGCGTCACAAACATTAAAGCGAATATCGAAAAAAAGTCGTTGTCAAAATCGCCACTAAACGGCCGAATGACATACAATATTTTTTGTTATTATCGCTCCATAAGTTTAACTTTTGAGGGATAGTAGGCAAATAATAACATATTTAAATTTTAGGAAGTTTCACAAGGCCAAAAAAAAATTAATTTTATATTAATTATCTTTCTATTAATCTTAAAATCTTGCTAACGTCCAGAAAATGTAAATAACTTTTCATTAGTATTTATTTATGGCGTTGTTGTTATTTTGTTAACATTAGGTCCGCTTCGTAATAAACTGCCAGCAGAGAAATAATTAGCGCCACTTAATAGTAACTAAGACTAAAAAGTATCGGTCGGTACGCTAGAATGTAGCTTTTTTTTTACAATCTCTCTCAATTTCGTCTGGGTGTACATGAAAAGTTCGTAAAAAAAAAGGAGGGGGTAAAACTTCACGGCCTAGGCCATGAAAAAAAGACGGTATGGTAGAGTCTCTAGAAAAGAGTCCCTTTACGGACGCCACCCAGCGCTCAGAAGTTGAACTTCTGGAGCGAGTATAACAAAAAAGATGATTATACCCAAAAATTAACTTAGATCGTGTAGAGGCACGGGTTATTTAGAATTAAAAAAAAAAAAAAATTTCCCAGTGTTTTTTCATCAAAAAGAAGCTTTTTAGGGGGCGCCGCAGAAAATTTAATTTTTAACGACCACCCTAATATATATATAGGTCATTCCACCAAATAAGAACATTTTTACGGGGTGACCCTCGCGGATTATGTTTAAAATTTATGGAGGTGTTCTCTATAATAAGAAATAAATTTCCTACAAGTTTCAGCCCTTAATATACAGCGGTTCTGGAGTTATGATTTTTTGAAATTTTGAAAAAAAATTTTTTTTAACTTTTTTATTAATTTTTCTGATAAGTAAAACTTTTTTATTAAAATCCACGAAAAATCTTATCTTGAGGAAAAAATTCTCAGCTTTTGAATGAAAATATCCATTTCATCATAAACACATTTCAGAAGACCCTTTGAAATCCAATTAAAGTGGTAAAATTGATTTTTCTCAGTGTGTGGTGCAAGGTACATCCAATTTGACTATTTTTTCTGCAAGATCAGAGTTTTTTACACAAAATACATATTACTTGTAGTACTGTCAAGTACGAGTCAACTACACAACTTTTAGCGTTTAAATTCAAAAAACTTTTCCCGCCCTCTAGCTCCGCTACGCGACGCTCAACCATCATGGCGTCATATTGTTTTGTTGTGTCAAGGACAACGGATGCGTAAAATAAAAATCACTGTTATTTATTTCTTTTTAAATAAATTAAATAACTTTCGATCATGGAAAAATCAAGAAAGAGATCTCGTTCACCTAGAAGATCTCACTCGAGTTCAAGAGATCGCAGTAGATCACCAAAAATCTCAAAGCGAGACTTACAACGATAAATAACCGCAATGGCAAAGTCTATTGCTGAAGTCATTGAGGTCCAAAAAGCTGCCAATAAGGCACCTAATGTAGAAATTCAAGCACTAAAAGGTAATAGTACATTACGTGCCTAGGGAGGAAAGTAGGACATTTCAACCCGCGCGGTGACAAAAGCGGGGGTTGAAATGTCCTACTATCCTCCCGTGGCGCTTATACTATTTTTCATCATACCAGGACCGAAAGTTCGATAATAATTTTACAAAATAAATAAAGACAAATGAGGTTAAAATAAATAAATAAATTCACATAAAGTTAAATTTTTTTTATATAACATACTTACTGAAGTAAATCCTAAATTAATATTGAAATGTAGGGATAGAGTATTGATCGGGTCCAGGGGCGAAGCCCCGGCGGGGTCCGGGGCAGAGCCCCGGCGGGGGGTTGAGGGGGGGGCGGAGCCCTCCAGTCATAAAAAAACAATTTTTTAATTTTTAAAAGAAAAGTATGTATATTGAACGTTTTAAACATTGAATATTATAATTGATACAATAATTAGTAGAACTTAATTATGAAAACAGTAAATAAAGTTGAATTTAATGCAATCAAATAGTAATTAATTTTCTTTGTCTTCATGATAGTGAAAATGAAATTCAAATTTACAATTTTCAAATTTGATATTTGCATTTTCCGGAATACTTTTTAAAATATTTTGGATGTCATCATTTCTTAAAGAAATTTTTTTCCTCCGCTTCGCATCAGGCAGTCCACTATTGGGAGAGTGAGTACTCGGTCGGACAGGTTTTGAAGAAGATTTTGAGTGCTCAGTCTTTTTTTCCTCGATTGGAGCTGAGAAATCATCATTGAAATAGTCCATTACTATATCATGATCCATTTCAAGTGGCGATGATATATCTTCTAATGATGCTCTGGATGTATTATTTAAAACTGTTGAATTTATTGGATAAGTAGATGATGTTGTTGTTGTTGATGTAATTTTATGTATAATGGGTGATGCAATTGTCTTTGGAGTATCAGCTGTTGATGACGATGTAACTGTATTTGTAACAGCTGATAATGTTATAGGTGTTGAATAAATCTTAGGAGCTGTTTGAATTGTCGAAGTTAATGTATGTGTCACTGTAGCCGAAGATTGATTGATATTCATAATTTGATCATAAATTTTTTTTTTGTTCCGGATCGAATTTTCAATATATCCATAGGCTTTCGTATCTGATCTCCAACCTCCGTGTTGCTTGATTGTCGTCATTGAAGCTCTAGAATCAGCCAACAACGTTGTTGACGTACGCCGAAAACTGTGACCGGTATATTTCTCGGGTTCGAGTAAATTCAAATATGTAGCAATTTTTTTAGGGACTTGTCCGAATATATTTTTGCCGATGACTTGACGTACACATCGACACTTCTGAAAGTGTAAAAAAAACCTATCCGTATTGGAGTTGTTAGGTCGTAGAGCTTTGTACTGCAAAATTTTATTGCGGTATTCCGGGCCAATTACAAAAGTGCGAGGATAGTCTGTTTTTGTCTTCAAAATGGTAACAATCAGCTGACTGCCGGTATCTTCGACGTCTTGTACTCGTAATTCAGGAAATTCTCCACCTCGCATTGCTCCAGTAATACCAAAAATCACAACAACCTGGAATGAAGTTTTTATAAATACATGTAAATAAACCTATCTTGTTATAAATAAATAAGTAAATATGTACATAAATGACGATTTGAGGCACAAAAATTAGTATGTAATAATTGTTACTTACTTTTTCAATTAAATAACCATTATCCGGTGCCTCATCGATAAACTTCTTTATCTCATTCCATGAGAATACTTTTGACTTCTTCTGACGATGACTTTTAGCATTATTTTTAATTAGTGTCTTTAATCTACTGTAATTTCTAATCTCGATGCTTTGATTAATACTAATCATAGTTCTCAGCATCGACCAGCGACTCCAAATTGTCGAAGGTGCCAACGTTTTAAATAAATCTTTAAAATATACTAATAAAACATCTTCATTGATTAAATTAATACGGTTTGAAGCCTTCCAACTGATAAATTGATCGTAGCAATTTCTGTAGCGTTTCACGGATTTTTAGGGTACTAAATTTTGAATAATTTCAGCAGCTTCCGCAGGAATATTTCGTCGCACTTCTTCAGCTTCAGATTTTTCAGACGAACACTCCGATGAACTCATTATTTATGTTTCGCAGCGGGCCGAAATTTGACGCTTTCTGCCCGGCGAGCAAAAAAGATTTTTTATGAAGCTTAAAAAACTGCGTCAAATGCCACCAACCGCGTGAAAATCGGTTCATTCATTCAAAAGTTATTGCGATTTGAAAATAAAAAAAATAGTGTTTTATCAAACTTTTGAGCTCGAAGAGCTCAAAAGCATACAAAAGCTATTTTTTTGAGCTCGGAGAGCTCAAAATAATACACAAATTGTATTTATGAGCTCGAAGAGTTCTAAAACGTCATAAGTGCAATTTCAAGCGTTTAGGTATAGAATTGGCGGGAAGTTGCAGGGATGGACTTCAGGGTCAACCGTATTCCTAATTTTTAACTTCCCGCTAAAAATCTCAGATTTTCAAAAATCGGGAAGTTATTGGTTTCACCCCATTTTACAAAAATCGAGTTTTCATCAGATCTCGACGTTTGAAGGTCACAGGAAACTTCCCTGACTATTTTTACGATGATGTCCGTACGTCTGTAAGTGTGTGTGTTTTTTTTTTTTTTTTTTTTTTTCCTTTAGGGGGGGGGGAATCCTTTTTACGGATTCTAGGCTATAGTTGTTGGCCTGGATATGTGGCGACTCGACGCAGCGTCAAACTAAAACTCGACACTAACGCCCCTACCCACTAAACCCTAAACCCCTTTCCTCTTTCCTCCAATCCCTCATGGAAACCGCCGTTAGGCATTACTTCGTGAGGGGAGGATCTAGCTACTGCTCTTCCTTCTGGTGGCTAAGGTGTTAACTACCTTCCTTCTATCTTCTGCTATTTGCTCTTCTTCTTTCGGTGGAACGCAAGCCTTTAAGGACTTCTGTTGCAAACGTGTTGGTAGCGTTCCAGGCAGCTTCAGATGACAACATTGCTTCCACTAGTGAATCCGGTTGCAATCTCTGGTTCAGGATCCTCTCCAGCTCTTCACGCTGTGAGTCGAAACGAGGACATACAAAGAAGACCTGCTCCGCATCTTCAGCAACTCCTTGGCAGGTCGGGCACACTGAAGAGTCATCGTGCTTGAAGCGGTGTAAATACTCTCGGAAACACCCATGTCCCGACAACATCTGCAACATAAGATAGTAATTGACCTCACCGTGATTCCGGTTAAGCCAAATATCGATCCGAGGTATGAGACGGTGCGTCCACCTACCCTTCTCTGCAGCATCCCATTGTAATTGCCATCGGCCTATGCTATTCTGCCGTTCTTCAATTCTAAGTTCTTCAGGACTCAGTACAGTTGACCTTTTTCGTTGGTAAAGGGCCCGTCTTTCCTCTGCTAGAATTCTAAGAGGTAGGGTTCCAGCAATGACGCACACTGCTTCTTCTGATATAGTGCGGAAGGCACTAGCTACTCGTAGGGCACTCAATCGGTATATTGGTCCAGCTTTTCTCCATGATTCTGGGGTTTCCAGTGCATCAGCCCAAATGGATATTCCGTAAGTAAGCACTGATGTGACTACTGATGACAATAATAGCCTCCTGCTCTGCATTGAGCCTCCGATGTTAGGCATCAGCCGTGCGAGACTAGCCCTCACTACTAACGCTTTGGCACTGACATGTTCCACCTGCTGCTCGAAGTTGAGTCGTGCATCCAGCATCACTCCCAGATAACGAATAAATGGTTGTGATGTTATTTCTTGTTCTCCGACTCTCAACTTAATAGTTTCTACCGTTTTTCTGCTGGTGATAAGCACTGCCTCGGTTTTATGCTTGGCAAGTTGCAAGTTCATCATGTCCATCCACAAATTGACTCGTCTAAATGTAATATCAAATGCCAGTTCTATCTCTTCGAGGTGCTTTGCGACGATCACGACAACTACGTCATCCGCATATGCTACAAGTTTGTCCTCCGTGAACAATGCTATTCTCAGGAGGCCATCATACATAATGTTCCATAGCAGAGGACCTAAGACTGATCCCTGTGGCACTCCTCCGGAGATTTCGTACACTTCCGTACAGGTCTTGGTGTCATATTTCAGGACCCTATTCATGAAGTAGCTCGCTACTATTCTGCGAAGGTATCCTGATACGCTTTTTTCCTCTAGAGCCCGCATAACACAGTCCCAATTAGCGGAGTTGAAGGCATTCTTGATGTCCAAAGCAGCCACCAAACAGTATTTTTTCTTTCCACTCTTCCATCTCGTTCCAGCAATTGCATCCTTGGCTGTATCAACAACCAATTTAATCGCATCCAGAGTTGACCGTCCTTTTCGGAAACCAAACTAGTTCTTTGCCAGGAGTGGATCGACTAAAGCCTCTATTCTCTGATAAATTATGCGTTCGAATATCTTGCCGCCGTGTCTAACATGCAGAGTGGTCGGTAGGATGATGGTTCTTCCGGCGGCTTTCTTCCCTTTGGAAGTAACACTAGCCGTTGCTGTTTCCACTTCCGGGGAAAAGTCCCTTTCTTCAGGCATGTATCGTAGACGTCCAGAAATAATGTCGGTGCTGCCCTAAGGATTGATTTCAGGACAATATTAGGAATTCCGTCCAATCCCGGTGCCTTATTATTCCCTACTCGATTGCCTGCCTCTATCAACTCATCCAACGTGATAGTTGGGATGTCTTCAGGGTTGAGCTGCTCCAACTTGTAGGTGAATACCGGCTATCGGGGAAACAGCGCAGTAACAATCTTCTCTAGGAGCTGTGGACACGTAGGTGATGGCATTGGCTGGCATTTCAGGTGGGTCATAACCACCTTGTACGGTCTGCC